CTTCGGCCTCTCCGCCGGCGGCGGCGCCGGCGCCGGCCTCTGCCGCTTCTCGGGCGTGCTGGTCCTCTGGGCAGAGGGTCACGTCGGGCATGTCCCTCTACAGGAGGAGTGTTCAAGAATTGGGATGCTCAAGAATTGGGATGCTCCAGAATCTTGTTACAAAAATGGTCTGGGAACGGTTTGACGACAAGTGTCTGGCGGGTTTCGAACACGTGCTGGCTATCTTGTGCCTCTCCTCCCAGATCCGCCTGTGGGAGGACTTGCCCGACCTAAGCAGGGGGGGGGGGGGGAGCACGGAGGGGCCCAGGGCCCCGCTCGGCCGCTGGTCGGGAGGCCAAGATACAGTCAAGCTGCAACGGCACACGTCGGTCGGAAGAAGTAGACAGAAACATGAAGCAGGAAGGCGGATAAAGTAGATTGGGCCCAGGCCGTCCCAAGGAATGGCAAAACACTGCAGAAGCAGATCGACTCTTGAAGCAGGAGGGCGCTGGAAGCAGAATTTGGCACTGGGAGTCCAAGAATACCTACTTTCAACGACTGGCGTGCAAGGAGCGCTGAGGCAGGAACGAAGCCCCTGTGGCCCCACAAGGAGCCCGGGTGCGCAGGAGCACCAGAGGAACAGCCACGGAACGATCTGGCGTCTCTTGGCTGCAGGCTGGCCTCGGATCTGGAGATCGGATCGCATCGGAATGTGCGTCGGATTGGCGAGAACGATGCTCATGCGCCGTACAGGCCTCGGAAAAAATAGCGAACACTCATGCCACATACATCTGTGAGCGCCTTCACCTCCCCCCAATGTTCAAAGTTGGCGGTGGGTCTGATGAGTTGCACCTCGACCGCAGTGTCCCCCGCGCGTGCCAACCTTGAGTTTGGGGGGCAGGGGGGGTGTTCACTAATTGTTTCCCTCTACCGTATCATGTCTTTGGCTCTGAGAGCCGAAAAGACATGCACCGTACCACTCCTGGGTCAACAGTCGACGACGCCTCGGGAGATGTCAACGCGGTGCGGTGCACGCAAGTCGTGCGCGGAGGATGAGACGAAGCCACGACAGGGACACGATCGCATCGGGACAAATCGGGGATATCTGAGATCTGGCCGTTCGCAGCCGCAGCAGGGGGAAGAGGGGGGGGGAGGCGGGTGGAAGAGGAGGGAGCCAGAGGCGGAGGATATCGGCGCAGGGAGAGGAGCCAGGAAGCAGGGAGAGGGATGATGCCGGTCCGCCCGAAGGGAGAGGAGCCAGGCAGGCAGGAGGCAGAGGCCCGCCTGCCTGCGGCTCAGCGGTGGAAGGATGTCTGCAGCCCAGCGCACCGCAGCGGGACTGTCGTCGGCTGCACGCAAGAGCAACCCTCCTACGGCCAGGCCCCGGGACTCCCGAGAGCACCGCCCGGCCCCAGAATCTCAGGGCCCCCTTCGACCACACGCAAGATTGGCCCCGGATACGGGTGACCTTTGCTGCGCGGCTTTCTGGGGGGCCCAGGGGGGGAACCAGCCACGAGCGCGCAAGACGCTGCTGCCGCGTCGCGTCCGGCGAGCGGGGGACCCCACAGGGCCCGAACCCAAGGTCACTCCGGCGAAAGGTCACTCTTACGTGTAGTCGACCCCTGAGCGGGGATTTCGATGCAGCCGGGCTGCTGAAGTTCGGCGGCGAGCGGGGGGGGAAGTGAGAAGGAGAAGGCCTTATATGAGGATTCGGAAGTTCCCCGGCCTTCTGAGAAGTCTTCTAAGCCTTCCCCGAAGATCTAGAATGATTCACTGCGCGGAGCTTCCCATATGTGGATATCTTTGCATTGGCATTTCCGCCGTGAATGTCTAGGCGCAAGAAACTTCGAATATAAACGAGCTTGGATATTGACAGCCTGGGAGAGAGTCTAACTGTGAATGACTTTGAGTGTGTATGAGCCCCAGTAGTATGCCTTTGAGTGTGAATGAGTTTGAGTGTGTATGACTTTGAGTGTGTTGAGTGAGTCTATGCGCGTGAGCCTGCGCATGGCTAAGCTTAGGGTGAGAGTGTCTGCACGTCAGTGGCCTGAGCATGACTGAGCGTGACTGAATCCTCCTGGGTCTCTTGGGGCTTCCTGGGGCTTCCTCCAGTCTCCTGGGGCTCCTGGGGCCTCCTGGGGCCTCTTGGGGCTTCCTGGGGCTTCCTTGAGCCTCTTGGAACTCCTGGGGCCTCCTGCGGCTTCCTGGAGCCTCATGGGGCCTCTTGGGGACTCCTAGGGCCTCCTGGGGCCTCTTGGGGACTGCTCCTCCTTGAGCCTCCTGGGGCTTCCTGAGGCCTCTTGGGGCTTCCTTGGGCCTTCCTGGCGCTTCCTGGGCCTCCTGAGACCTCCTGGGTCCTTCCTGGCGTTTCCTGGGGCTTCCTCGGACCTCTTGGAGCCTCCTGGTACCTCTTGGGGCTTCCTGTGGCTTCCTGAAAACTCCTGGAACCTTCTGGGACCTCCTGGGGCCTCCTGGGCCTTCCTGGAGCCTCCTGGGGAGGGTTCGTGCCCCAGGAGAGGCCAAATCTATAGGAACATGTGTAAAACACAAAGGTTTGGAACCACAGGAGAAGGACAATCGATATGAACATATGTAAAACACCAAGGATCCGTGCCCCACTGGACGCCCAATATATAGGAACATGTGTAAAACACATCGGATTAGAGCCACAGGAGAAAGACAAGATACAGGAACAGACGTAAAACACCAAGGATTCGTGCCCCAGGAGAGGCCTGACCTATAAGAACATCAATAGAACACATAGGATTGGAGCCGCTCATGGGACCTCCTGGGGCCTCTTGGGTCCTCCTGGGGCCTCCTGGGGGCTTCTAGGGCCTCCTGGCGCTTCCTGTGGCTTCCTGAGGGCTCCTGGGACTTCATGGTGCCTCCTGGAACTTCCCTGGGCTTCCTGGAGCTTCTCGGGGGGGAGCCTCTTGCGGCATTAGGGTGCTTCCCGGGGTTTCCTGGGGCATCCTGGAGCTTCCTGGGGCTTCCTGTGGATACCTCTGAACTCTTGAAGCCTCCTGGGGGCTCCTGGAGCCCTTTGGGGGCATCCTGGAGCCTCCTTGGGGCTTCCTGCTGCCTCCTGGAGCCTCCCTGGGGCCTCCTGTGGCTTCCTGGGGCCCTGCTGGGGGCCTCCCTGGGCGGGCCGCCTGGGGAGGATCCGCCCACGACTCTAGCAGCCAGCACAAGCAAACCGCTCAAGCCGGAGGAGGAGGAGGAGGAGGAGGAGGAGGAGGAGGAGGAGGAGGAGGAGGAGGAGGAGGAGGAGGAGGAGAGGAGGAGGAGGAGGAGGAGGAGGAGGAGGAGGAGGGGAGGAGGAGGAGGAGGAGGAGGCATTCTCGCAATCTAAGCCCCCTTGGGGTGCGAATGCCAGCGTCTGCACTCGACGAGCCGGGCCACCAGAACAAGCAAACCGCTCGAGGCGTCCTCGCAATCTGGGCCCCCTGACTTGCGAAAACCGGCGCCTCGCCGAGACATCATCCTCCAAGTCTGCTCCGAAAGTAAAGGATGTTGGGTCAGGAAACATGCAAACCGCTCGATGCATCCTCGCAATCAGGACGCGAACGGAGACCGTGCAACACCCCTGGCGCCCCCCCATTAGGAGTGCTAAAGCAAGCAAGCCGCTCGAGACATCCTCAGAATCTGCTCTGAGCGCACACGAGTCTGGCCACCAAAACAAGCAAACCGCTCAAGACATCCTCACAATCTGGGCCCTCTGGAATGCGAAAATTAAAGCCTCGCTCGAGGCATCCTCGAAATCTGCTCCGACAACGGAAGATGATGAGCATGCACGCAGGCAAACCGCTCGATACATCCCCACCAGTTTGGCGCGAACGGAGGCCGTGCAACACCCCTTGGCGCCCCCCTTAGGAGGCGCCTCGCACGAGACATCCTCAAAATCTGCTCCGAAAGCGGAAGATATTGAGCATGGAAACAGGCAAACCGCTCGAAACATCCACGCCATTTTGGCGCGAACGGAGGCCGTGCAACACCCCCTGGCGCCCCCCCCTTGGGAGTGCTAAAACCAGCAAACCGCTCGGACGTCCACATCATCTGCTCATCGTCGTCATCAGCATCATCATCATCAGCAGCAGCAGCATCATCATCAGCATCATCATCATTATCAGCATCCGTATCATCACCAGCATAACATCATCATCAGCATCATCATACTCACCCATCAGTCACCATCACGATCATACTCACATCATACTCTCACCATACCATGGTCATCATCATGACAAGCAGCATCGTCACTGTTTAGTGCAGAGAGAGAGGGGGGGAAGTGTAGAGGTCCCGCGTGGTCAGAGAATAACAAAAGGCCCATCCTTTAGATATGGGGAAAAACTTATCAGGAGGCGCGAGGGCTGCTGAGAAGTCACGCCGCCTTCTGTGAAGGCCTACTACTTCGCATTTCCCCCTTTCGCTCGCCGCCGAGAAGTACGGAACGATCGATGAGGAACGAAACCCCACTATTCGGCGGTGGACAAACCTCCCTTTTGCAAACTCCCCCTTAGTGAAAACGACCTAGGGCCGAAATCGAAGGACCTGGACCCGCAAAAAAAGACGGCCGCGACGCCCTCTCGCGAACCGAAAACGGCCGACTCCTTGATCGACGTGTCAGGGTAGGATTGTGGATGCCACGACAATGGACACCCTAACAGTCCGATCATCGAATTAAAGATGTGTTTAAAATGTCGGAACATGTATTGGACATGTATATAAAAAAAGGCTCACTACATTTGTTAAAGCAATGTTAACACATGTTCTAGACATCTGGAAATGATTTGGCAACACGCTTCCTCTCCATTGATCGTCCTCCACAAAGGGTAGGAGGTCCGTCCACCTCCGAGCTGTGGGCGCCGGGAGGGCCCAGGTGCGCGAGGAGCGCCAGCGGGACAACCACGAAGAATGGCCCCCAGAGCAGCGAGCCCCGTTTCCGAACTCCAAGCGGCCCTCAGTTCAGCTCCTTCCCAAAATTTCTAATCCGATAATAATAAACCCTAGTTACCATAAAACTGGCCCGTATGCAAACCGGCTCCATCTACTCCAAAAAATCGAATTTCCTGAGCATGCGTGCAGAATCTCTTGCATTTTACAACACAAAGTGCCCGACCCACGTTGCGACCCGGGTCCATCTACTGCAAAAAATAACATGTGCTGCACATGCGCGCAGAATCTCCTGTATTTTACAAAACAAAGTGCCCGACTCCGGTTGCGACCCGGCTCCATCTAGTGCAAAAAATAGCATTTCCTGAGCAAGCGTGCAGAATCTCTTGTATTTTACAATACAAAGTGCGACCCCGATCCATCTATTCCACAACGTAGCATTTCTTGCGCATGCGTGGAGAATCTCTCCCGCCCGACCCGACTCTTCCCGCCCGTTCGAGCACTCGCGTGCCAACTGGATCGCCCATCACTCGTCGCCGTCGTCGTCGTCGTCGACGTTGTATTCGATGTGGTTATAACGAGGGGAGAGATGATCTGTATGGTGGGGTGGCGTGCGGGTGGGAGTGACGGCCACCGCAGGTGGGTTCGCGGTCGACGTGTACTCGTGGCCACGCCTAGTAGACCCTAAACCCTAAACCCTAAACCCTAAACGAGGAGCGCCAGCGGGACGACCACGAAGAATGGCCCCAGGAGCAGCGAGCCCCGTTTCCGAACTCCAAGCGGCCCTTAGCTCAGCTTCTTTCGGGGATGGGCAGGCCCCCCTTTAGCAAAACGTGGTTCAGCGAAGACGACCTCGGGCCCAAATCTGGCGGGCGCAAGCCTGGAAAACAACGGCCGCGGCGCCCTCTCGAGAACCGAAAACGGACAATTCACTAATCGACGTGTCAGGGTGGGGGTTCTGTCCACCCCCGATTCTTGGCCGTAGAAACCAGGATCTCTTCACCACCGCAAATGATACTCGGTCACAGCCCACGCTGCGATGATGTGTGGTGCCCGCTTCCCCTCAGGGGGGGCGGTAACTGCACGATTCAGAGCCTCAGAGCGTCACGAGCCCACGTCCGTGCCCCCATGCGCGCCCCCGTGCCTGTCAACCAGGGCACTGGTCCTCCTCCTCCTCCTCCTCCTCCTCCTCCTCCTCCTCCTCCTCCTCCTCCTCCTCATCCTCCTCCTCCTCCTCCTCCTCCTCCTGGTCGCCTTGCGCCGGGTCCTGCCCATGAAGGCGAGGGCCGTGTCTCGGAGCAGCTGCTCGCGGTCGGCGAGGGCCGCCTCTCGGAGCAGGCGCTCGCGCTCGGCGAGGCCCGCCTCCACGACCGCCTCTCGGACCAGCCGCTCGCGGTCGGCGACCTCGGAGGCCTTCCTAATGGGGTCCGAGTCGATGGGATCGGAGGATCGCGCCGCATCGGCGATGCATCGGCGACGTCGGCATTGAGAAAAACGGGCCCCACACCGAGGCGCACTGCCGAAGCCTCGTCGGTGCGGCGCGATCTACCGACCCCGTCTACTTCGGCCCCATTTGGGCAGCCTGGAGACCTCTGGCCGCTTTCTGCTCTTTCGGCGGCCCTCGGCATTCCTACTCCTGTGAAGGGGCCCTGGGACACACACCCACACACACACAAATGAATAGACACAGATAACAGGATCCCCCATAGTTGACCCTCTCTTCTGGGTTCTTGTCTCCCCCCCTTCCCCCCGCCCATATCTCCCCACATCTTCCTGGGGACTCGACGCTTCACTGTGTCTGCGCCTGTCTTCCCCCTCCGGCTCCTGGCCCCTCTGCCCCCGCCGCGGCTGCGAGGCCCGCCGCCCGCGCCCGGCGGGCCGGCGGGCGCCGCCGCCCGCTTCTCCTTGGGGCGCGGCCCGCGGGAGGCGAGGGCCCTTCCCCTGCTCCCTGCGTCCTGCTCGTCCTGCTCGTCCTCCTCGACGCCTTCCTTGTCGTCCCGCTCGTCCTGCTCGGCCTGATCGTCCTGCTCGTCGTGCTCCCTCGTCCCTGCGTCCTGCTCGTCCTGCTCGTCCTGCTGCGTCCTGCTCGTCCATGTGCGAGGCGGGGATTTCTCCACGTCCACCGCCTGGGAACCGACGTCCCGGTGCCCCAGCGGGCGGTGGACATGGATATATGTTTCGGCCCCCGGGGGCCCGAACATGTCCATGTCCACCGCCTGCCGAGGCTCCGAACACTGACCCTCCAGGCGGTGGATGTGGATAGATTCCCGCCTCGGACTGCTCGTGCTGCTCGGCCTCCTTGAAGCCGCCCTCCCCCTTCTCCATGTCCAGCCAAGCCAACCTTCGCGCCAGCCTCGTCCTGTCCATGGCCTCGCCGCCCATTTCTCCTCCTGGTCGCACTTCTGCTCATGCTCCAGCTGCCGCTCCCGTTCGCACTCCGACCCTGACTCGTAGCCCTACCCCTGCCAGTCCGACGTGCTCCTACGTTTACTTTGACTCCTGCTCGTAATCATAAACCGGCTCGTATGTATACTGCCTTCCGATCCCGTTGGTCCTACAACTATGCCGACTCCCTGCATCAGCGCCCGATCCGTATGCAAATAGGCGCGTCATACTCTACGCTGGTTTCACTTTTGAATGACTGCCTCTCGTCCGCGGCGAATTCGGACTCACACATCCCACGTGCACTTGAGTGAACAACCAAAAAGTGCGGCGAGCCTCTCCACCACTTCGCATGCGAAAACACCCATCGAGACGGCCGCACGCTGGGGGTTACCCCCGCCATCCGCTGTGACTGCCGCCCTTCCCGCTCGAAGACGCGCGTCGCACGTCGCGACCAGCGCTCGAGGGGGAGTTCACGTCTGTGCTCGCACGCTGCGCAACTGGTCTCTGCTGCCATGCGTCAACCGAGGCTGCGAACGTCGTGCCCACTCCGCGTTGTCTGCACACCGGACGAGCCGCGACCTTGCCGGCACTCCCGCCATCCACTGCAAATGTCCATGCGCCTTGACCGTCGTGCTCGTTGCGCGCATCAGCTCGCACGCCGAATCGTATTTAGGCTCTCGGTGACACCTGCAGGCTGCCGCTACCCGCTCGAGCGGGTGCAAGGCACACCGAGTTCACTTCTCGTGGAAATTCCCACAGTGGAGCGACCCGACACAGTGCGGCTGGCCAACTCCGCCCTGCAACGCCAACACGGAGCCGAGCCAGCATCGCGCTGGAATTCTACAAGCCATTGTGCGGAAGTGGCCCACCTCCACCCTGGCCGACCCCCTTACGAGGGCAGTCGCACGCCCACCTTGCGTGCGGGCTCGCGCAGTCAAACTGGCACGCGGACACTAGACGGGCGCAATCATGCGCTCTTCGGAGCTACTGCGCTGACGCACTACCTCCAGAGGTCAATGGAGGAATCCACACCCAAACCAAGGACCTCAATCTGACTGCCGCCTGCACAATAGGCAGCTGCGCAATTTCCCCGTGTCATCAGGGGTCCAAACATGTGCGTCTGCACATCGCCCAGTATCCAAAAAGCTCCGCTTTCCTTTCAGTAGGGTCAGAACGGTCCAAATGGTTGCCGAGCGGATTCAAGCACAAGGTTACGAATAACACCTTAGCGTTGATTCCAGAGCGACTGTGGAGCCACGCGGTCCACTCATGCGGCGATGTGAAGACGGAGCCAGGACGAGAATACAATCGGGTGAAGATAGATCGAGAATCTCTGAGATCCGGCGGCTCTGGAGGATGTATCGGGCGCCGCGGCCTTCTCAGAGCGTTCCGTAACGCTCTGAGAAAGCTATGGAACGCTCTAGATGGGATTCGTCCTCGTCCTAGCCCCGCCCGAGATGCTGCGTCGAGCGTCCGTCGACTTGAATCTAACGTGGGTTGAACTAGAGTCGACCCAGAGTCAAACCATATTCGAACTAGAGCTAAACATATCACATATCAGTTAGGCTGGCCCCAGGAAGGTCCCCTAAACGGACATCTAAGGAGGAGGAAGGGCTTAGATGACCCTGGAAGCGACAAAGCGACAAAGCCATTTCTTTGCCGTTTCCGTTATTCCGCCCATTTGCCGGCTCCGGGTCCTGTTTCAACCCCAGAGCCGTTCTCCTGTCGCTTCCAGCCGCCGTTTCTTCACCGTTTCCTTTCAAAAAGCAATGCCTCGGAAACGGTGAAGAAACGTCCCTGCCGCCTCCGCAGTCGATAGCAACTCATGGGAGCCTCCCATACCATCGTGTCGGCACGTGCAAATCGACGCGAATCGGCGCTGAATCGACGCTAATCGACTTCAAATCGACGCTAACCGACGCTGAATCGGCGCTAGCGCTATCTCATCGACTCCCAGACGCCGATCGACGCCAGTCGACGCCGTGACTTTTGCTGCCGAGTCCGCGGGAGCAGGGGCAGGAGCCGGAGCAACAGCAGGACAAGGAGGAGCGCCGCCCCCGAGGGCTGCCGCCGACGGCCCCAGCCGGCCAACCCCTTCTCCTCCTCAGCCTCCTCCTCCTCCTCCTCCTCCTCCTCCTCCTCCTCCTCCTCCTCCTCCTCCTCCTCCTCCTCCTCCTCCTCCCTCCTCCTCCTCTCCTCCTCCTCCTCCTCCTCCTCCTCCTCCTCCTCCTCCTCCTCCTCCTCCTCCTCCCTCCTCCTCCTCCTCCTCCTCCTCCTCCTCCTCCTCCTCCTCCTCCGCCTCCCTCCTCCTCCTCCTCCTCCTCCTCCTCCTCTCCTCCTCCCTCCTCCTCCTCCGCCTCCTCCTCCTCCTCCTCCTCCTCCTCCTCCTCCTCCTCCCTCACCTCCTTCCCCCTCCTCCTCCTCCTTCCTCCCCCTCCTCCTCCTCCTCCTCCTCCCCTCCTCCTCCTCTTCTTCCTCCGCCTCTCCTCCTCCTCCTCCTCCTCCTCCTCCTCCACCTCCTCCTCCTCCTCCTCCTCCTCCTCCTCCTCCCCCTCCTCCTACTACCGAAGCTCCTCGCTGCGGGCTCCGCCCCGCTGGTCGGCGGGCGCCCACTCGAGCTCGCTCTGCGGGCTCGCCAGCCCGCTCCGCCGTTCGGCGGCCGGCCGCGCCCGTCTGCAGGAGGAGGGGGGGGGGGGAGCAGGGCGACACGGCGGGGGAGAGAGGAGGAGGAGGAGGAGGAGGAGGAGGAGGAGAAGGAGAGGAGGAGGAGAGGAGGAGGAGGAGGAGGAGGAGGAGGAGGAGAGGAGGAGGGGAGGAGAAGGAGAAGGAGATGTTACTAGAGTTACCCCCCGCATGGGAGGAGGGAGGAGGAGGAGGAGGAGGAGGAGGAGGAGGAAGAGGAGGGAGTAGGTAGGAGGAGGAGGAGGAGGAGGAGGAGGAGGAGGAGGAGGAGGAGGAGGAGGAGGAGGAGGAGGAGGAGGAGGAGGAGGAGATGTTACTAGAATTACTCCCCAGCCGCAGTGGCTGTTGGCAGGGGCGGTCCGCGGCCCCGCGGCCGCCCCCGCTCCGAGGGCCGCGTCCCTGAGGGCCGCCCCCTCTCCCTGCCCGTCTCGCGGAGGCGCAGGGAACTGCGGCGGCGCGGCCGCGGGCCGCTGCCGCTCAGAGGGCCGCGTCCCTGAGGACCGCCCTCTCTCCCCGCGCGTCCGGTTGAGGCGCGGGGAGCCGTGCTGGGTCCTCGCAGGTGAACGCGATCCACCTCCGAGATCCTCCCCCACGGCGCGAGCCATGGGCACCCGTCGCGACAAGCCTTCCAAGGAAGGTGGCAGTGCCCTGCTGCGGCTTCTGCTTTGTCGTCATCCTCCTTCTCGCAGCAGATCTAGGGGCCGCGCCCCTGGGGGGCCGCCCCATCTCCCCGCGCGTCTGGCGGAGGCGCGGGGAGCTGTGGGATCGGGCTCGCGCTCTGGCGCGTAGTCGATCCGCCTCCGAGATCCTCGGCACCCCGCGACGGGCCCCCGGGGGTCCCAAGATACCCCAAGATGGCCCCAAGGCGGCTCGGAGACGCTCAAGAGGGCGCCCAGACGCTCCAAGAGGATCCCAAGCGAGCCCCATGATGGCCCCAGAGGCTTCCAACTCAGGCCAGGAGGCTCGCGAGATGGCCTAGGAGGACCCCCAGGAGAGCCCCAAAAGGCGAACATCGTCCCATTCCTTGCGGAAAACGTATATGTGTCCCATGTCCGTTCTTTTCGTCTGCGCAGTCTCCAAGACGGCTGTACAGGCTCCGACGATTGCCCCAAGACGCCCCAAGACGCCCCCAGGAGGGCCCCCAAACGGCCCGAGACAGCCCCAGAACGGCTCCAGAGGCGCCCGAGGCGGCCCGGCGGCTGCCGCAGGCATCCGAACCGACATGCTTTCCAAGGAGGGCGGCAGTACCAGACGTGTTGTTCTCGCACCTCAGCTCGTTGTTGTCGTCGTGGTACTGTGCCTGTTTGATGTTCTCGGCGGGAGCGGCCAGCATCGGCGGGCGCGGTTCTGCACGCTGACCTCCGCCAACCGCCCCCCCTGGCCGACGTAGGGAGTGGCCGTCCTCCCCCTCAGCCCCGTTGCTCCCAACGGTTTGACTCCTGGGGTGGATATCGTAGTCTCTGTCATGTCCGCAAAACTGTGGCGACGTCATGCCTCGCGGCGCGGGTACTTTTGACGAGGCATCCCGGCAAAACAATGGCGACGCGCCAAACAGGTCGGCACTCACATCCTGCCCCTGGCGGGGCGGTGTGGTGCGTGCCTGTTGGCTTTCCTCCAAGCCGCTGTTGTCGTCGTCGTGCAGGCTGCGGTTGGGCGACTGGCGTCGGCAAAACGCGGGCGACTGATCGCCAAGCAGGTCGGTACTCACAGCTGCCCTCTGCTGAGGGGGTGTGGTGCGTACCTGCTGGCTGTTTTCCGAGCCGCTGTTGGGTCCTTGTTCTCCTTCTTGCTTCTTCGCCTCGCTGAGCCAGTGGCGTAATTTGTACTTCATGCTGCTGTATCTAAGTCGTTGCTTGCATCATTTCTTCATTTTGTCCGAGATGTACTCCGTCGTCGTAGCTCCACATAGCCTGCAGAACCATCTGGCTTCAGCACTGAGCAATACAAGAGGATGGTTTGGGTGTGCTGCTGCGTCGGACTGTATGACTTGCCGTGCCTTGGTGGCTGTCCCTTGCATCCCTCTTGGAACCACTCCTTTGCGGCTTCAAATTTGGTGTCTTTGCCCTCTCTTTGCAGGCAGCACTTGCATGGCAACCCCCTTGCCACGTCGTGTCCTCGTCAGGTTCCGCGTGGTTGGTGACCCTCTCCCTCCTTCCGACTGGTCGGGTCCTTCTGCGAAGCAGTCCCGTTGCCGTCGTTGCTGCGCCTTCCTTTGTCTCGTCATTTCGAGTCTGGCTTCGCGTGCTTCTTTCTCTTCGGGTGGTCGTCCATCGATGGCGTCGACGGTTGCTGTTGCGATTCTGCGTCGGAAGCATTGACCCAGTCGTAGCATGTCATCTGTGCGTCGTCAATGTCGTGTTCCCTTGCTGCAGTCTCCGCTAGCTCATCCACTTGTCCGTTGCCGTACCATGCATGTAGTCGAAATCTTCGCGCTTGCGCCTCATCCCACGTGAAGTGGCTGTTGATGTGGTGCACTTCGACTTCTTCGTCGCCTCTGAGGCTTCGTGTGTTGAGCTCCCTGCCGAGAAGTAGACAGAAGTCGCCGTTGGTGCCCACTTCTCCTCCACGAAGGTATCGTTTGTTGCGCCATCCGTTGAAGACCAGTTCGGCGTAGTGGTCCCGCTGTGTGTCGTGGGCAGTCCAGTAGCGCCCAGAGTTCTGCTCTATTGCTGGTCTGCCGTCTGTGTGGTAATGGGCCATAGCGTGCTGCAGCGATCTGGAAATTGTCGCTGTCGCCTGGTGAGGTAAGCCTTACCCAGGCGCAACCACATCGTCGGCATCGCCAGTCCGCGCTGTGCTTGCCACCTGAGCCATCGCCGTATACAACAATAGGGTGGTCATCTGGGGGCTGGATGCGGTCAGCATGGATAATCTCGCCAATGTTGTTGGCCATCTCTGGTGTAGTACATTCTGGCCGCACCGACCAAGCGCGTGGCGTAATACCCCGAAGCCAGAATACAGTCGTGTCACTGTAACCCGCCGCCGCTTGTGTGCGTAGCCTTTCCGTCTTCTCGAACGTTGGGTCGTCGCTCCTGCAGTGGCATCGTTCCCACATTCTATGGTAGTCGCTGTCCGTGGCTCCACATTCGCACGCATCACATCCGTGTCCAAATGCATCCTTCTTCCGCGTCCTTGTCCATGTTCCTGCACAAGCCGCCGTAAGAAGTCCACCATATTCACGATGATTGCCTTGTTTGTGGAGCCATTCTAGGTGTCTTCTCATGTCCGTCGTATCTGCTCCGGGCTCCAGGCCCTTCCCATTGTAGTGCTCTGCGGCCGCTTGCCACAACCTGAGTCGTACGTCTGCTGTGATGGCGTCCAGGATGTCTGTGTGGTCGCCAAGTTATCCGTCCTGTGGGAATTTCAAGTCGTTCTTGTCGCGGTCGATCCAGTGCTCTGGCCCTCTGGAGTCCAAGCCCAGTCCCCAGAGCGCAAGTATGATGGCTGATATCGGACCTCTTCTTTGGGTCCATCTTCTGTTGGCTGGTACTTTGAGCACTGTGAAATACATATTTGGCCATGCACGTCTTACCTGGGCTCGTAGATCCGGGCTGTGTCCCCAGCAGTTGAACCAGTTCGCGAACTGTCCTATGGCCACGGTGCAGGCTGGGTCGACGCCTTCCAAGTCCAAGTACGTGGTCAGGCATCTTCCGAGCCATGGTCGTCGTCGTGCCTGTGCGTATTTGCGCCTCGCATGTAGCAGTGGGGTGGGGGCCAAGCCGTGGAATGCCGTGCCGTAGTTGAGCGAGGCCATGGCGCCTTGCTGAGTGATGTTGGCCTTCGTCTTGGTTCTGAATCTATTCAATCGTGTCGCGTTGAGTCTGTTGGCGTGTGCCGGTCGTCGGTCGTCCGCTCCGAGGTCTCTTCCCTCTGTGGCAGCTTTGAGGGGGAATACCTCGGAGCTGTTGTTGCGTGCGGATTCGCTTGGTGTCGATGTAGTGGGTCGACATGAGGGTGGTCTTGTCCGCCAGCTTGAGCCCTTGCTCTTCCAGAACGAGGAAGAGCTGTTGGGTGGTGCTGACTTTGGCTGACACGATTTGGTCCCTCCTGCCGACGATGCGTATGCTGATGTCGTCGAACCATGCTCGAGGTATGGGTCGGGGTAGTTGGCTTGTGCTTGTGAGGCTGGCCATGGCTGCGTACACCACAGTACGTGCTATGTGATTTGCATGTCGTGACCCAGCGAAGATGGGAACGAGCAGCATACAAGGGGAGTGAGTATGATCCTTGTCGGCACAATACTCTTGTGGCGGTATGTTGCAGCATCATCAGGTACAGCTGCCGCGCAGGGAACTGCATGTGCAGGGCTGCTGGCACCGTCGTGTCGATCCTGAGGCTGTCGTAGAACTCCTCTATGTCTGCCAGCGATATAGTCTCGGCCATGTCGAACGTGTCGGCGCGTTCGTCTGTGATGAGGCGCCTGAGCGCCTCCCCCAGGCAACTGTTGCCCGCGATGGCCGCGTCCCATTCCCTCGAGGAGGAGGAGGAGGAGGAGGAGGAGGAGGAGGAGGAGCAGGAGGAGGAGGAGCAGGAGGAGGAGGAGGTGCTGGAGGAGGAGGAGGAGGAGGAGGAGGAAGAGGAGGTGGTGGAGGTGGAGGAGGAGGAGGAGGAGGAGGAGGAGGAGGCGGGAGAGGGCAGGGCAGGGCTGGACGCGGGGAGGCATTCGGCGGCCAGCCGCACCCGTCTGGAGGGTGAGGCAGGGCACGACACGCTCGGGAGCTCTTTGTCGTGGCGCGCCACGGGCGGCGGCCCCGCGACGCGCCGCGCCGCGCGAGCCGTGCAGCACGCGTGGCGCCCCCCGCTCCGCGGGGCGAGGGGCGAGGGGCGAGGGGCGAGGGGCAGGCGCTCGGCCAGGTGGACGCCTCGGGAGATGGCGAGGCTGGACGGCGTGCCGCGCCGGAGCGCGGCGTGGCCGGAGCGCGGCGGAGCGGCACTTCTCTGTTGGTCAGCGGCCGCGGGCGAGCGCGCCGGCGGCGCGTCAGGTCAAAGCG